CCTGGAGTCCTGGGATCAAACCCCACATGAGGCTCCCTACTCAGTGGGGAGTCTGCTTTTTCCCTCTGCCTCTCCCCCACCCCTCTCCACACTCGTGTTCTTTCTCTCACTCAAATAAATAAATAAATAGAATCTTTTTAAAAATGCAGATTTATTTATTCATTTGAGAGAGAGAGAAAGAGCATGAGTGGGAGGGGTAGAGGGAATCTCAAGCAGACTCTGTGCTGAGCTTGGAACCTGTCACAGAGCTCCATCTCTCGACCCTGGGATGACAACCTGAGCAAGACCAAGAGTCCCATGCTTAACTGACTGCACCACCCAGGTACCTGAGAGAGAAAGAGAGAGAGGATGGGAAAAGAGAGAGGGAAGAGAGAATCTTTTTTTTAATTTCATTTATCCATTCACAAGAGGGGGCGGGCAGAGAAGCAGGCTCCATGCAGGGAGTCCAATGTGGGACTCAATCTCAGGACTCCAGGATCATGCCCTGGGCTGAAGGCGGGCGCCAAACCGCTGAGCCACCCAGGTATCCCGAGAGAGAGAATCTTAAGCAGGCTTCCTGCTCAGCACAGAGCCCAATGTGGGCTTGATCTCATGACCTTGAGATCACAACCTGAGCTAAAATTGAGAGTCAGATGCTCAACTGATTGAGCCACACAGGTGTCCCTCATGTTCTTAATCTTTTAAAGCAGAATCTCTCAACCTCAGCACTATTAAAATTGGGAGCTGGATAATTCTTTGTTATATATTTCTTTGTGGGGAGGCATGTCCGGCTCACAGGAGAAGTTTAGCAGCATCCTTGGAATCTACCCATTACTTGCCAATAGCACTCACTCCCAAAACTGTCTCCTGGGATTGCTCCATATCTGCAAAGTCACTCCTGATTGAGAACCACTGTTTTAAAGTGTAAAACATCGGGCCTTTTACTGTTTCAGGTGAATTATGTCTAGAAATTCAGATTGTTGAATGATGCCTAGGTTATAAGAGGTCTGGATCAAAATATGCCTATTTCTCTCTGGTTTCTGTAGCACTCCCTGTGTTTCCTTTGAAAAGGGCATTAGTGATGGTCTGATTCAGGGCCACATTCTGATCTCGGAAACTCAGTCCCCTGGTCTGTCCTAGAAGGATGAAGGAAGGGGTGGTGTTTCTGAGGAAACTAATGCCTCTGAGACCCCTCTGGAATTGGCAGTCCCCTACAACTTTTCTAGGGGCATGTCCCAAAGGACAATAAAAGAGAGACAAACAACCCATTCTGGCATGCTTTTCAGGATCTCTCACTCCAAACAAGAAAGTCTGAGAGGCCTGGTAAAAATAAATATGGCTTAGCACTCCTGGCATAAGAGCAGTTTCTGACAGCCAAGACTTAACTCACCCTAGGGGGTGACCCAGGCAGGGACTATGCATGAAGTTCGTTCTATCCATTGATATTCCCAATGACTCACAGCAGCCAGGGATGGCTCCGTGCACCAGAACTGTGCTGAACCACGGAGGACTTGAGATGCACACACAAAATGCAGTCTCTGGAGCCTGAGTCAGACAGGGACAGCCAGCTTCCCCCTTCCTCCTCAATCCCAGAAAAACAACATAAATCATGCCTTCTGGAAAGAAACCTATCCTTCGCATACAGATGTTTATAAATGCTTAATCCCCTGACATTGAAAGTATGGTGACTGCATGTCCTGGATTTTTTGGGACAAATGTATTCATTATACCACATGTCCTTAGTTTTCATGTGGAAAAAAATATGGTCTCCAGAATCGTAAGATCCTTCTCAACAGGTCCAAACGCATAAACAGCGTATATTGAAACCCTGAGACCAACCAAGGCCGCATCACAAACATTGTGGCGGTGGGGGTGGGGGTGGGGAGTGGGTGTTAGAATCAGCCTCTACTTTTCACTTTTTTTTTTCCTGGAATGTTAGGCTAAACTGACGTAGGTCATAAAGGTCGACAGTCTTTCCTATCAGGACGATCCAATAACCTGACCTGACTCGACTGCCGTCTTCAGTCAGCAAGAAGAACTACACACAGAGAAAAAATGCCTCCGTATTAGTTACCATGGTGATGCTGGTTCAACCACATTTCATCTGTGTAAAAATTTCAGGCAGAACAGTGTAAAGAAGCACTGGCTAAAGGAGTTAACACTTCATTTTTTGATGCCGTTTCTGCTGCTGCAAAATTCACATTAAACTTGGTCAAAGATGATCATTTGAAGTGAAAGCCTTTGCAAAATTGAAAACAAGAAATGTCAAACCTTAACCATTAGAGAAATCTCCTAATATCCACTTGGCACTATACAAAATCGCTTTCCCCTCAGCTGACACAGGGCATTTGGGTCTTCCTGACTCTATGTACTTACTAGTAAGAGGAAAGTGGTTTAATGAGATCGCAGAAGATGGAAAAGTCAGGGAATGTTGGCACACCAGCTCCAAGGGAAAACTGATATATAGGACCCTAAGGAAGTTGAGGGCTTGGACAAAAGTAACAAGACAAGATTCAACCAAAACCAAAATTAATTCCCATTACTAATATGCTCTGGGGAGAGGGTAGGCCATGAAGCTACGACAGAAGAGGAGTTTGTAACTTTGTATAGTAACCAGAAAGTTAACTACTGCTGTAAGGCCCTACAGAAGCCCAGGGCAGGCTCAGGTCTTCTTTGGGGAAAGGGCAACTCCAAGAAAAGACTTACTTCCTTACCCCCTTCCTTTCCTTGCCAGGATCAGAAAGTCAAAGAAGGTGAAGAGGCTAACAACGCTGATTTACAAAGACAGCGAGGAGGAACTATGTCTGGGTCACTTCTGGACGTCTGAGCTGGGGCGACAGGACCCAGACAACCACCTCAGGAAATGCGTAAAAGGGGAGGTCGTGGAATTATTTAGCCCTAGAAAGATGCTGCCTAGACCAGGGTGGGGGTGGAGCAAGAAGAAAATCTCAGAAATGGAATTTTGACAGTGAGAATGCCAGTTAAGATATGGCACTCGAGGCCCCCTGATGTCCCTTGTTTGATGTTAATAAAGACCTAGAGGATTATGCATTAGCAAGCCTTGCGTATTCCGAGACATCAATAAAGTCCGGACTTGGGGCTGGTAGGGGGGCCGGGGTCACGTCCCGGGGACGTGGGTCAGCCCGGGTGCTCCTCTCCGGCACAGTGTAGAGTGAGAGGCATCGAGAGTTGCAGTCGGGATGATCTTTTAAGTTAGGGACATTTGAGCAGCAGTAATGGGGACAAGGAGGGGGGCTCTCTCGAGGACTAGGAATGTGGGGGCGGCCGGAGGACCAGCGGGGCCAGCGCAGGAGGCGCTGGCGGGTGGGGGCCGGGGACCGGGGGGCGGGGGCCGAGGGCGGGAAGGGGCCGGCCCGGCGCTGGGGGCGGGCCCAGGCGCGGTGGCGGTGGCGGGGGCTGCGGCGCGGGGGGCGGGGCGGCCCGGCCCGGGACACCCCCTCCCGGTCCCCTGGAGGGGCGGCTTCGGCTCCGGCAGCACTGGAGGCAGCCGCGGCCGGAGGGCGACTCGCGGGGCGCGCCGGCCGCCGCGGACCCGGACGCTTCCCCGCCGGGACCCTGCGCCGACCCCCTCCGCCGCGCCGTCCCGCGGGAGCCGGCGGGACCCCCCAGCCGACAGGGAGCGCCGGCGGCGGCCGCGGCACCATGAGGCGGCCGTGGGGCGCGCTGCTGCTTGGCGCCCTGCTCTGCGCACACGGTAAGCGGCGCCGCGGCGTCCGCGCAGCCCGGCGGGCCGGGAAAGTTTGTCCGTGGGTCCGGCCGCCGCAGGACTCCGCTCCCGAAAGCCGGGCGGCGCGGGCTGGGGCCTGGGACCCTGCGCCCTGGCTCCAAGCGCTCACCGCGAGCGAGCGTGCTGGGGAGAGGAGCGGGAGCGCCCCCGGCCGCTCCAGCCCGAGCCGGAGCGGGGCGGCCGCGGAGGAGCTCCCCGGCTCCCGGCTCGGGTCGGGCCGGGCTCAGGGAAGATCCGGGGCTCCCGCTCGCCTGCCCTCGCCGCTCTTTGGAGAACTGGGGGCTGCTTCCCTTTCAGGTTAAGACGGGGTCTCTGTGACCCTGATGCGAATGAATGTGTGCGAAGAGAGGGAGGCGGGGGACGGTGGTCGCTAAACCGTAAATCGTAAAAAGCCCGCTTTGCAGGGGCGGGGGTCGCGGGCGGATTGCGGAGCGGGGCCCCGGTGGAATCGGAATGCTTGGGCACTGCGGATTCCTCTACTCGGGGAACAGTTCCTCGGACTCCAGACCTTGCTGCCACCGAGGGTCTCTGGGTACTGCCTGCCTGCTCGCAGCATCTCCCCTTAGTGGTGTTTTGGGTTCCCTCTTCTGGCTGCGACCAATCAGCTTCCTGCCCTGGATCCTTCCCGGTGGTGGTGGGGGGTGGGGTGGGGAACCGGGTTGGAAAAGGGGCAGAGGAGGGACACTGGGAAGAAACTGCTGGAAGGCTCCCGCAGATCCGTCCTGGCCGGAGTAGTGGGGCGGGGGGGCGGGTATCGCCGAACATCAGAGAAGGCAGCCTCCCGGTCCGCGCTGTGACCCTCGGGGGAGCTGGTCGGATGGCAGCAGAACTGCTGCTTCATCTGCTCCTTATTAATAACTTGTTTGGTGCCCGTACGCGACTGTTGTGTGTGATTAGGGCTCCAGTGGAATCTGTTTCTCCGCAGCCGCCTAGCACAGTGGGTGTACCCCGTGATTTAGCAGCTGCCTCTAGTTTGTGCCCAGAGATCAAAGAACTTTGATCTTTGAACCCCAACCCTATTCAACCGGGGAGGGGGGTGGAGATCCGAATCTTCTCATTCTTGCAACCCGGAGGGGGGGAGGTGGGGTTCAGAATATGGAGGGGTCTCCAGACCCCGGCCTTGCCTGCACCAGCCCTTTCTTCAGCGTGCGGGAGGGAGCTCGTGTGGAAATCGTGCGGATCTCGGAACTTGCCTGGCAGGGCGTGGAGATGCCTGGGCACTCGTTTTAAAGATTGGTTTACCTCCCAAATCCAAAACAGAGTTCTGGCGTCTGTTATTTAAACTACCCGAGGGTTTTACACGACTTTCTCCATGCCCTCTCTAACGCCGACTGAGCTCTTTCTCTCCGCTCTTCCTCCCGCGTAGTAGCCTGGCGGAGCCACGTTCCTCCGCGCACTGTGCTCTCCCCCTCCCGGGCTCTCCTAGAAGGTTATTTGTAGCCTCTTTGGCGTGTCGGGACAGCGGCCCTACTGGGGTAGGAATGTAGCTGCTCTTCCCACCACATGGGCCCCTTAAAGGGACAGCTATGCTTTTTGGGGGGTTTCCCCCTTCGGGCTGCAAGAGAAGGGGATGGAACTTTCCTCTCGGCCCCCTGGAGGAAGTTTTGAAAAAGATCAAGGGAAATGGCACGGCACTGGGAAAAAAAGAAAAAAGAAAAAAAAAAAAAAAAGGCTAAAACGGATACCAACAAAGCCAGAGAGGAGATTGTCGCCTTCTGCCCTAGGGAAAGTGGAGCTGGAAGGTTCTGGGCTGAGACTGGCCAAGAGGATTTTATTGCTCCAGAGCTGTCAAAACTGCGTACACTCATCTGCACTGAGAATGGAGGTAGAAAATTGTGTCTATTGAATGCTTCACAGAAAAAGGATGGGAGGGTTCTTGATAACTCTGCTGGGTTCTTTTGAAGGACCGAGTTTAATAGAAACTTCGGAGCGTGGGGACTTTCTGTGAGCATGTGTAAGGACACTCAGTGGCACGGAGATCTAAACTTCCCCTAGCCTGATACTGGATCATCCTTGGAGGTCTGGGGGAGGAGAGGAGCAGAGGAGAGGACAGAGTCTTGGTTCACCAATGAGATGGAGCAGTTGCCCAACCAGAAATATGACCAGCAGGGTCCCTAACGCTGTGTTCCAGGGGCTCATGGAGAAGACAGTGTTTTATGGTATTAATGCAATTGTTTAAAGTGCTTATTTGGATGCTGCTAGTCCTATGGGCTTTTTCTAGAACCTATGTGTTTGGCCTGAGCCTACATAACACTCCAACCGTAAAGGTTTTGTTAGGGAACTTGATTGCTGGCGATAGTCCTGGGTATCTCTCTCCTGAGGGTTGAGGGTATCGTTCTCTTGAGGCCTCCGACAGCCTACCACCACTGGGAGAGTAGAAACCATGTTTGTCCTGGAGATCTCTTCCAGGTAAGCAAAAAAGTTGAAAACTCTGCCGAGGTGCTTAGGTAGATGTTTCTGAAGGCTGTTTCTGAAGTTCAGTTAGAACTGAGACTGGTCTCCTTTCCATCTGGCTGTTGTTATGGTGTTTGGTTGACCTTGTCCCTGATCTTGTTGGACTTGTGAAAGATGCTTGGCTTGTCACTGATTCTGGATTTCCTCTTCTGTCCCCTGTTGAATATCAGATAACATCTTTGGGACTGGCACATGGTATTAAGAATGACAGGTGCAAGGGGACCAGTCTGGCTATGTCTGATACAGAACACGTTGGGCATGTCCATCTTCTGGGCCTGCAAAGAACACAGAAGGTCACAGAAGACAGGATATTTTATAGGTCTTTGCTCACTCTTTCTACTGATTGGCTGCTAATCTTGATCCCTAAGAAGAAGAAAAATAGGAAAGATTGGCTCTCTTGCTTCTCCTTTGAAGTGAAGATCAATGCTAGGGGCTTCCTGAATAGGGAATTTCAGGGACTACTTTAAGAAGTCTTGTCTTTTTTAATAATCGGGCACATCTCATAATTATGAGACAGTTCCATGTCCTTGGTCGAGTTAGTCTGTTAAAGCCTGTTCTAGCCACAATCTCTACATTCCTTGGTGAAGCCTAGCTGCAAGTTTTGCCACAATTGCTTAGGCATGGACCATCTGGGCCCCAAACTGTGTCTCACCTCATTTTCAGCATGGGAAGTCCTTCTCCCCTTCTCAGCATGGTGGGATTCTGTGTCCCAGGAAAGACTTCTTGCTGACTGGTTGGCTGACAGAGCCCAGGTTTGGCCCTATAAATAGCTCCAATGACTGCCTGTGCTTGCCACTCTCCATCCAGCTTAGAGCTGACAGGGTCAGGTTCTTTCTCCTAGATACACTCAGGAGCAATCCCTAAATTGGGTTTTATACCCATTCATTTGTTCATTCATTCAGCAAACACACATTTGCCAAGCACTAATCTTAATCAGCATGTACATAGTGCAGTGATTAAGAAGCACCAGCGTACTGGGGTTTGAATCTTGGCTTCAGCATTTCTTGGTGACCCTGTGCAAAACACTTAATCTCCTTGAACTTCAAGGTTCTTACCTGTAAATGAGGGGAGAGCTGGAGTAGTAATAAATTATCATGTGAGAATATTGTAAAAATTAAATGAGGGGATCCCTGGGTGGCTCAGTGGTTTAGCGCCTGCCTTCGGCCCAGAGCATGATCCTGGGGTCCCAGGATCAAGTCTTGCATTGGGCTTCCTGCATGCAGCCTGCTTCTCCCTCAGCCTGTGTCTCTGCCTCTTTCTCTCTCTGTGTCTCTCATGAATAAATAAAATCTTTTAAAAAAATTAAATGAGAATATTTATGTATATTGAAACCATTTAGCACAGACTACTGTGTTACTACAGGTTTAGGAAAATGTTAGCTGTTTGTTAGCAAGTTTGCATAAGTAGATTAGAGATGATTCTTACCTTTGGACTATGGGAGCCAGGTAAACAAATCATTATACTATATAGTATCATGTGCTAAAATGGAAGGTCAGCCCTTCATTCATTTCAACTGTTTATTTTTGCTTTTCTCTTTTAAAGATCTTGCCCCTTCTTCCCACCTCACCTTGAAAACCTAATGAAACCTAAGTATAGTTCCCTTCTGTCCACACTAACAGAAAATAAATCTGTTAAGTTATACCATGAGTCTAGGGAGCTCATGCCACCCTAGTTCTCCTGGGAGAGGTCCTGGAAGATGGGGTTTTCCTCTGGGAGCTTGCTTGTTAAAAGCTCTGTGGTCAGGGATGCGGCCAGGCATCTCACTCCAAGGTTGCTGTGACCTAGGGTGAGAGGTGCTGGCTGAGGTCTCTTGTAGCTGGAACAGTTTAGAATTCCAAGCTCTCCCTCCCACTGGCCTGGGAAAGGAGTCAGGCCTCAGAGCTCATAAGGTAGTAATTGCCCCAATTTGGGGGCTGGGCCATTGTAGTGCTGCCTTCCTTCATGACTACTGTCTTCAATCAGGAATCCTGTCAGTGTGCAGGGATAATTGATGTGGGTCTCAAGCCCATGACTCGCCCCCACCCCCAGCCCCCATCTCCTCCACCCCAAAGTTTGACCCCTGTTGTCTCTTTGTTTCTTCCTTTTAAGTTGGTGCCAGTGATGTGATGTTTTGGGGGGCCGCGTAAAGTTGACCGTAACCAAGAGCAGCCAGTCAGAAGAGCTGATTCGCTGGCCTTCCTGGCGGTCGGTTGACTCCATTTTCTGTTCTTCATTTTTGATTTAGCAAGAAGCAAACATCTTAGGTGCCCTTGGGCACCTCTTATGCCTTTCCGAGCAAACTTCATTCTTTCACTGCACTTAGGCATTCTCATAGCTGAGTGGATTGACAATAAGCGTCCCTAACACTCATTTCCCTGCTCATTCGGGTCAGAGTGAGGCAAGGCAGGGCTCTGCCTGAGACCCAGCTGGGGAAAGCCTCCCTGGGACTTACTGCAAGCCCTGACTTGGCCTACAGGAGCTCCCCCCTCACCTCTGCGCAGAGCCAAGGATCTGAGCTGCGAGCAAAGCCGGAAACAAAAGACTGGGAGCAAACCTCCCATCTGGCTGGGAGGCAGTGACACAAAGGTGCTGCTGCATAATTTATCAGCAGAGGTTTTCTGGGGCGGAGAAGCTCTAGGCTCAAGGCAGAACTTTTTTGGAGGAGAGGGACTGTCCCTCTGTAGGCTCAGGCAGGTACTGAGTAGGATACTGAGAAAGACACCTGATCAGCACGTGAAATAAAGCTTGGAGATCCTAAGTGCCTCTCCAAGCTCACCAGCTTCATTTCCTGCCAGGTCTCCCTCCCCCCTCCCCGGGGGAGGGGGGGGCAGCTCTAAGTGCTCCCTCGGTTGGCCTCAGCCTTAGGAGCTTGACTGCCACCACTTTTTGGACATGGATGAGGACAAGAGATAGTTTCTCTGTTGGGTTGACTACAGCCTTCTGGAGACCAAATACAGACACCAGATTATAATATCCATAAGCCTAGCAGATAAGCAAGGGAAATTCTCTCCACTTCTTTCCACACATACCCCAACCCTCCCACACTCAGGCAGTTTAAAGAAATTTCAACTACAGGTTCAGAGAGGTGGTACAAGTGAATGGTTCTTTTTTTTTTTTTTTTTTTTAGGATTTTATTTATTTATTCACGAGAGACACACACAGAGAGGCAGAGACACAGAGGGAGAAGCAGGCCTCCTGCAGGGAGCCCTATGGGGGGCGAGGGACCCCAATCCCGGGATCACACCCTGAGCCAAAGGCAGACACTCAACTTCTGAGCCACCCAGGGGTCCCAAAAGTGATTGGTTCTAAAATGTATCTCCCCCAAATAAGATTTTCTGCTCTTTGGGAAGAATTGCTGCTAACCATTCTTGTGTCACAAACTGGGACATGTGGTTTAACTAATACAAAAGTACTTCTGGGGCAGTTAACATTTTCAAATATTTTGCTATATCCCTGGCACTTTGGTAATTATGGTATATTATCACATTTACCCCTTTCAGTGTCCTGATAAGGTAGGTACTTTTAGGTTCCTGTCTTACAGATGGGAAACTAAGGCTCAGAGCAGTTTATGTCACACAGCTAGTGAGTGACTCAGGATTTGAACCTAGAGCCATAACTATTAAGCCTTTCACCCATACTACCCCTTAGTATGGAATATTTTACATCCAAGCTGTAACAAAGGATCTAGATTGGGATTATCTATATTTTATTTTGGATTGACTTCCCCTCCCTGTTTTCATCTTCTCATGGAATCTCAATGCATAAAGAGTAACTTTTCAGTGCTTTTGATGGAGGAGGGCTTTACTTATTTATTTATTTATTTAGGGGTAGGGGCAGGAGACGGAGCTAGAGAACCTCAAGTAGGCTCCATGCCCAGCATGGAGTCTAAAATGGGGCTCGATCTCACTACCCTGAGATCATGACCTGAGCCAAAATCGAGAGTTGGATGCTTAACCAACCAAGCCACCCAGGAACCTCAGGAGGAGGCTTTAAAAAAGCTCCCAGGGGAGAAAAAAAAAGCTCCCAGGGGACGCGTGGGTGGCACAGCAGTTGGGCTCCTGCCTTCGGCTCAGGTCGTGATCCTGGGATCTGGGATCCAGTCCCACATCGGGCTCCCTGCTGGGACCCTGCTTCTCTCTCTGCCCCTGTCTCTGCCTCTCTCTCTCTCTCTCTGTGTGTGTGTGTGTGTGTGTCTCTCATGAACAAATAAATAAAATTTTTAAAAATAAATAAATAAAATAAATAAAAAGCTCCCAGGAAGAGACGTGTTGCTCTTGTGAAACCATGTATTACAATATGGACCTTGTGTTTTGAGAGGTTAGGGGGAGAGGAAAGCAATATTTTGAGCACAGCCACATTCAAGCCATGTTGGATTTGTGAAATCTATTGACT